ATTTGTACTAAAATTTAAGGGTGTGTACTATGTACTTGCAAAGTAAATAAAGTACGCATTTTGTGCTAAAATTTTGACTAAAATTATCACTAAACTAAATAAAAAATAATTGCATAATCAAATTGAAAATTTAAACCAAAAAGTTTGGGGCCAAAATATTGAAGTACCAGCTTAAATTGTACGACATGATTTTTTTCAAGCATTAGTACAGTTGTATTCAATAAAAAAGCGTACAAGAATTAGAATGAGAGAAAACGTGTCAAAATAATATTATTGCTTAAAACCGGCTTATCACTGACATAAGTCATTAAAATAATTACTATAGGTTATAAAGAGCATTGACGTCGTAGGTTAATTAAATAATATTACAAAAATTATTAATTTTTAATATAGATTTTTTATTTATATTATACCACGGTACGAATTGACCATTCTTCTTCGATTCTTGATACTATTTGAGCTGACGAGGCATTTTTATTTTCTACTATCAGTTATAGTGACTTAAGTCAGTGGAAAGCCGGTTTTACGCAATAATGTTGACAGTTTTCTCTCATTCTAATTCTTGTACGCTTTTTTAATGAATACAACTGTATCTGATATTAGAACCTCATAATGTTAAAAAGCTTGGCAAGTTTGAATTTAGAAGGTAATGGGGTTCCGGGAATACTAAATAAGAACTGTATTTTAGTTGTACCATTTAAGGTACCGCCAAGGAAACATACAAAAAACAAATTCAAGCACATTAATTAATTAATTAATATGTTACCAAAGAGAAAAAAAAATCGCCCAAAAATTATAAAAAAATAACAGGGTTTGTGCTAGCTTAAACCCATAATTTCGAGAGTATAGAGGTTCATAGGGGAGGTAGGTAGGTCGAGGGTTTAAGTTCGCCGACTTTGTTTATCTTTTTATTTATAAAAAATTTGGAAACAATTGTGGGGCATGAGTTGGTGGTAATAAATGGTAACTTATCTCATTTAACGAAAATATGAAGATTCGAGTCGTTTCGCGCGTTGTAAATTGGCTTGAGTGTTAATATGATATGATAATAATTAGTAATTAATTGTGCTCAACATGATTTTTCATCAATTCAATCATTTTACAGGTTGTGTGCTAGCTTGAGTGTAAAACTTTTAATAATTTTTGGAAGATAAAATTTGTGTGGTGCCTTTGCGGTGCCAACTTAACATATTTACCCTTTAGTATCTATAACTTAACAGGTGACCTTGTTTACTGGCGATTAAAATTTTATTACGTCCTAATAATTTCTGAGAACTTTTTCGCTTTTCGCTGACTTCGACTTGTCTGGTCCACCTACAATGTATTTTCCCTATATATAGCTTGCAAATGAAGGTACGGTATATACATTATGCACATTATTTTTTAACAAATATTACATACATATGCATGTATTTTATAATATATAAAACGTATAATATACGCATAATATTATTATGATCTCTTGCCGATACAGGGATCCCTCTTGCTTGGAAATCCTTAGAAACCTGTAAGTCAGGTCAAGTAAAGTCAGGGTAAACTTTACCCGGTAAAGTCATGGAATTTTGAAAGTCAGCGCAAAAGTCAGGGATTTTTTTTATATCTTTATAATGTAAGCGTTGATGTTTTAAAAATTAAACTTTTAAAATGTTTACTGACACTTTTTTGTTGCAAGTCGTGTAAAATCGGCAATGCAATCCTAACAAGTAAATTATGATTTTTAATTTTCGTAAATATAAATAAAGGTTGACAAAAATAAATACTATTTTTACACTTAACCGTTATTCTGACGGGGCACTACCTCGCTAATTGTTTTTATTTCTTTCGTTTATTTATCTGGAACTTTAAGTACTTTGGTCAGGGAAATTCTGGAAAGTCAGGGAATTTGAAATGATTTTAAAGGAGGGAAACCTGTAAAATTTTTAATTCAATGTTTTTCTTGTGTTTTATTTATTTTTAACATATTTTAAAGTTTTCGAAAAGTCTGACCGGATTGCATAATAATATTGTTACCTATATATAAAGAAATTTTTCTTTATGGCAAACAATTTTAAAGAAATGAACTAAAAGTACACAAATAAATATTTATTATTATTACTTTGGAGACCAATGTTTCTAATAGAATTTCCGTGAATACCTATACTGCCCTGCTAAGCTAAACCGCCGTATATATAATATTAGGTAATAAAGAACAGAAGATCATTTTAATTATTAAAAACAATAAAAAAATTAGCTTAGCAGGGCAGTATTATAATCGATTATAATATAATAGCTACACAGTGGCTTGCTGTGGGTATAAGGGCGAACGAGCTGCCTTAAGGGCGACATTTTTTATTTTTTAATAAAAATTCAGGGTCATAAAATCAGGCACAATAGTAAACAAACACTAAAAATAATTATTATTACTAACATATTAAAAAAAAATGTATTGAGTACGTATATGTTATAAATAATATATTGTGCGACTGGTGGGAGAGGAATACCATGTTTTGACCAATAGTCGCACACAATTTAACTACCGCAAGAAATTTAAAGCTAATTCTATTTGATATTTTATCAATTCTTGGCCTAATGACATTTTCACAAATTTTATTTATACTGATATCATACGGAAGTCACCGCGTGATAAATGAAAATCATACGAACGTAACGTCGTGATTTTCACAAATTTTATTCATACGGACATCATCCGGATGTCACTGCGTGAGAAATGAAAATTATGTCGTGATTTTTTATGCCATCGCTGTTTGTGATTGACTGATGGCACAAAAAATCATGTCGTGATTTGTTATGCCAACGGTGTTTGAATAATCATGTTTGCGCCACGTTCGTACACTAAGAGAAAAATTATGTTAAATCAACAGTTTTTGCGGTTAAATACATTTAATATTTTCTTGGATTTAAATTAACTATATATAGTTAATTTAAATTCAAGAAAATATTAAATGTTAAACTGTTGATTCAATTGTTAACATACTTTTTCTTTCAATGTACGAATGTGTCGCAAAAATGAATATCCAAACACCGATGGAATAAAAAATCATGTCGTGATTTTTTATGACCAAACACCGATGGCATAAAAAATCAAGTCGTGATTTTTTATGCCATCGGTGTTTGTAAATTTATTTTTGCGCCACATTCGTACATTGAGAGAAAAAGTATATTGAATCAACAGTTTTTGTGGTTAAATATTAAATGTATTTAACCGCAAAAACTGTTGATTCAACATAATTTTTCTCTTAGTGTACGAACGTGGCGCAAAAATGATTATGCAAACACCGTTGGCATAAAAAATCACGACATGATTTTCATTTCTCACGCAGTGACATCCAGATGATGTCCGTATGAATGAAATTTGTGGAAATCACGACGTGACGTTCGTATGATTTTCATTTAGCACGCGGTGACTTCCGTATAATTTCAGTATGAATAAAATTTGTGAAAATCACGACATGATATGTTTGTATGAATATCACGAATGTTGTCCGAGTCCAATTAAAAATGATATTCCAATGTTTAACAAAACGTTCACGTTTTGTTAAACATTGGAATATCTTTTTTAATTGAACCCGGACAACATTCGTGATATTCAAACAACGTTTTATAAATTATAACGGTGTAATGTGAATAACAAACTAGGTTTTAAATTCGTAGTTCGCATATCACACCGTGAGTTCTACATGATATCACTGTGGTGAAGCATGGGTATGCACTCAGGATATCACGTTGTGATATCATCACGACTTCACCAGGAAATCCCGATTGTCGTCCGGGTAGTCTACTAAAGTTCTTTCGGCATCCGCGCGATTATATTTTAATGTATACCTATGAAGAATATAAATTATTTGAAATTAAAAATCGCAAAATATTCTTCTGTTGAAAGATAACAATTATTGTCCTTTTGAATTACTTTCGGAATTACCCTTAACTTAAACCACAAAAAATTTTAAATATATTCATCAATAACAGAAGTTACCCCTTGGCATGCTACTGTATACAGTATTTACCTTCATTTACCTTCATTGTAGCTATAGCTACAATGAAGGTAAATTTTAAGTTTCAATTCAAAGAATTGCCAAAAGAGATAAGAGAAGTTTTACTATAATTTTAAAAACAAGTTCATTGTTTTATAGGTACTCAAAATAACATGGTTTATCAAAATATACGATTTTTATTTAATGTAAAGCACAATAGATAAACAAATTTTATATGCTGGCTTAATTTACTTGTACACAGTTCATATCACCCACATAAATAACGATATGTATTGTAATTTATAACAAAGAATATTTTAAAATTTATCACAACAAAAGGTTTAATTTGGTTTGGTTTACAATGTAATGTAACAAAATTGTGAAAATGTAAATTGACCACTTAGTATTTAATGTAATTATTTTTTATTATCTATTGGACAAACTTTTTTTTTAAAACTATAGTTATTATTAATTATTATTGGACCAAGTATTTAATAAATCGCAAAACTACAGTTTTAGCTGTATTTTTTACACTGTACACTGTACATATAAATGGCAACTTTTAAATTAGTGTAAAAATACAGCTAAAACTTGGTTTTGCGATTTATTAAATACTTGGTCTAATAATTATTAATAATAACAATAGTTTTAAAAGAAAAGTTTGTCCAATAAATAATATAAAATACCTAATTACATAAAATACTAAGTGGTCAATTTACATTTTCACAAATTTTGTTACCCAATCTGTCCTGGTTGAAAATGTAATTAAGTTAAAAAGGACTTCTGGTTAATACAAAGTGGTGACTCAGAAACTTTCTTTTTGCTGTAATTGATCAATATTTTCAACTAACATTCTATGCATCTTAAAATTCTCATAATAAATGCAAAATTACACAATAGTCAAAATACAAAAGTTTAAGTTAAAGAATGAGTTATTAGAACCATTATATTTGTTTATTTACTAATGTAAAAGTGGGTTGGTCGAGGGGGTCTTGCTGACCTATTTCGCATGCATTTGATGGATTTTACCTGATTTTCCCTCCACAATGTTGGCACTGGGGCCCCTGCCAACCATCGTAGCACACGCAAGTGTCATTTTTGCACACCCCATTGCCACTACAGTTGGAGTTATCATGGCATTTAGCCCTCACAAGTGTTGTGCAGGCACCTAACACCACAATCACAAAACAGACTAGATCCCACTTGAAGCATTTTCGTCTATACTTGGATTTAAATAAAAATAAAAACATTTGCAGGACTTCTAACATTTTACTGTCACCATCATACACTTTACAGTTGCATTGTCAACGTCAAAATAAAACGGTAAATCTTCTTTTTGGTCAATGAATGTGTGACACCACATACACCTACAGGTAGTCCGAGTTCCGCTCGTTCGTTATTTTGACTGATTTTCTTTAAGGATTTGTCAAACTTGATGATTTCAGTGGAAAAACATCTTTTCCCATTTTTTTTGACATTTATATTTGACAAATGTCATCAACATCAAACGGAACGCCAACTTTATAGGCATTTATTCAGAAGATGCTACCAACCTTTAAAAAAAATACCGATATACGTGGGCTAATTGAAAAGTTATATATAGAAATTTTTTAATTTTTTATTTAAAATAAAACACAAACTTAACTTATAAAAATATATTTAAAGTATTAATCATAACATTATTGTACAAAATTTAGTTTAACTTTAGCTTTTCTTTGTTCAGTCTTCCTTTCGATTTTGGAAATTTGTTTTTCTCCTGTATTTAATTTGGTCATAATTTGATCACCTGCTGCCTTATTTGCTTGTCCTATTATGGTTAATTTTCTTACAAATTGGGATGTTAACTTTTTCCAGTGTTCCTCATTTTTCTGAAAAGAAAATTATTTGAAAAATATAAATAGGAAATTATTATTGTGTTACCTTAGCAGAATTAATAGAACCCTCTACAACCATTCTGTATTCTGTTTCTCTTTTAGTTGTTCTGTCTTTTAAATCTGCATATTCTTTTTGAAGAGATTTTAATTCTTCCAAATAATTATTTCTTTCAACTTCCATTTCAATCATTTTTTGTCCACATTCATTCATTAATTGCCCTATTTGAGACCTTACAACACTTTCTTGACCTTTTGCTTTTTCTAATTCTTTTTTATACACATTTATGGTATCCATATATCTTTTTTCAATTTCATTTAATTTTTTAGAGAACTCTTTCTGGTATTCTTCATGTAGAATCAGTTCTTTTTTGATGATTTCTGTCTGAAGACATTTTTTGAATTGGACAGTTTCCATAACTAAAAACAAACAAAATAGAAAGCAATCTCAAAAATACAAATTTTTTTTTACTTATACAATCCTCTTCAATCCTGGTTTTTTCCAATTGTGACTCTGCTTCTTCTAATTCCTTTCTTAAATCCCTTCTAATATGTTTTTCCCTGGCCTCGCAAAGTTCCTTTTCCAATCTCAAAATCTCCTTTTTAGAATTTGATAACTCATTTTTAAATGCTTCCAAAACTTCACCAATCTTCTCCTTTTCCTTATTATACAATATTATTTGCTCGTCTTTTTGTTTCAACTCAAGCTTTAAATTTTCTATAGTAACAATGTCTTTGGCAGATAAGGATTCTTTTTTCTTACCCTTTTCTATTTTCAATTCTTCTTCTAAATGTCTCACTTCCTCCTTGGTTTTAGTTAGTTCCCCATCAAGAATATCAAAAAGATTCCCCAGCTCATTTTTATCCTTAACATACTTTTCAACTAATTCTTCTTTGTATTTTAAATCTTTTCTGAGTGCTTCAACATTAGTATCACTTCCATTTTCACTTTTTTTAAGCATTGCAGAGAGTGCTTCAGTCAATTTCCCATTATCCAACATCAAATGTTCTATACGAGTTTCACAATCTTTCAAATGATATTGAAGATTGCATTTTTCACCTTCTGTGATTGTTTTTGACTGACCAATTTCTTCAATTGTTTCTTCGAGGTTGGCAATCTTGATTTTGGCCTCCTCCAATTTGCGTAGAGTAATTTCATAGAGCTCTTTGCCTTCTTTGCTGCTAGTATTTAAAGAATCGCGGGATTTTGTTGAGAACTTTATGAAATCAAGTTGTTTTTTTATACCACACAATTTTTCTTCCATCACGTTTTTCTCGACGTTCAAATCTTTTATGGAATGTATTAATTCATCTAGTTCAGTTTTAATCAGTAAGATTACTTTAGGGTTTTCAATTTCTGAACCATGTGCAGTTTGTTTTAGATGGGTCATGAATTGATTTAACTGTTCTTGGATTGAATCCTTTGTCATTTTAAGTTCAGTTTTTAAAGATTTGTTATTGCTTTTTAGGTCTTGTATGTTGCTTTCATATTCTTTAATTTCGTTTTTGTATTTTTTAACTTCTTCTTTAAGTTTATTTTTCTCTGATTCAAAATGACTTATTTTATCTACATTACTATCTTGTCTTCCTTTTGTCAATTTATTATTTTGCTCTTCAAGTTTTTTTATTTCAAATTCAAGTTGCAATACTTTACTCTGAGCTTTATTTAGTTCTTCACTCATTATTTCTAATTGTGGTACATTGTATTTGTTTGATAAATTTTGTATTTCAGTTCTTGTTTTCAAAAGCATATCTTCAATTTTGCCTTGCAGTTCATGATTTACTATGGTTACATTGTTTATTTGTTTCTCTCTATCATCTATGGTTCTGGTGAGATTTTTAATTTCGTTTTGCATAACCAGCAAATCTTGAACATGCTCAATAACATCTAAAAAATATATATATATATATATATATATATATATATATATATATATATATATATATATATATATGTATTAGACTGGGCCAAAAAAATCGACTATTTTTTTTTGGAAAGTATATCGAAAATATTGTTTGGGGTGACAAAACAAATTATTGTGAAAGTTTGAGTCCATAATATTAATATTAAGAGGTCATCCCAATTTTAAATTTTTTTTCCTGTGCGAGTTTTTGTCTCAGAACTCCCAAATCATTGAGTTTAACAAAATTGACTTAAGAATATTTTTTGAAGAAAATTGAATGCTCTACAAAAAAGGTTTGATTGGAATTTTCCGTCAGATGAACCCTTTTCTTACAATCATGCCTTAAAAGTTGGTATAGTTTAACAATTTGATCTTTAAACTTTGGAATTTTGTAATTCAAGTAAAAATCAGTACCCTGAAAAAAAAACGATAAATATTCTTATGGGAAATCAAATGCTCTACAAATTTTTTTTTTTTTCATTTTTGGCTAAATTCACCCCATCAAAAGTTATTCAAGGTTAAAAAAAAAGTCAAAACGAAATTTTAACCTTGAATAACTTTTGATTGAGTGAATTTAGCCAAAAATGTTAAGAGGCTTTTTTTGTAAAGCATTTGATTTCCCATAAGAATATTTATCGGTTTTTTATGGGTACTGATTTTTACATGAATTACAAAATTCCAATTTAAAAGATCAAAATGTAAAACTATACCAATTTTTAAGGCATGATTTTAAGGAAACGGTTCATCTGACGGAAAATTTCACTTTAACCTTTTTTGTAAAGCATTTAATTTTCTTAAAAAAATATTTTCAAGTCAATTTTGTTAAACTCAATGGTTTGGGAGTTCTGAGCCTAAAACTTAAAACTATTTTTTTTTGTCACCCCAAACCATATTTTCGATATACTTTTCAAAAAAAAAATAGTTGATTTTTTTGGCCCAGTCTAATATATATACATATACAAGTTGTCCCTAAACTTATTGGCATAAATTTAGGAAAAGATTGAGCAAGTCAAATTACCTAAATAAATATTTTTTCTAATTTTCCATTTTATGGAAGTTTGAGAGGTAGGTACACCTTTTATTAGTAGCCAAACTGTTTAATCAAAAAATTGCATCAAAAGGTTTAAAAACCTAACCTCAAAGTTTGTATGGGACAATAAGCTTAAGCAACCCCTGTTTCTATGACACTGTTCACTCAAACAATTGTAATTATGTGGGAATATGTGTATTGGTAGTAAGTTACTGTTCGCAAAATATGACCTTTTCAAGTCAACCATAGTAGAAGTTATATTAAAATAACTGATATGATAAGTAACACTTTATCATCCTGTATCTTGGAAACATACGTAATTAGGAAAAATATTTATTTAGATTTTCGTCTTATTTTGACTTGCTTAATCTGCTCCTATTATATATATATACAGTGTTGTAACGTATCTAGTTACAAGTATCTAGATACAGTATCTAGATACTTTTTATGTATCTGTTTGTGTAACTAGTTACTTATCGCAATCTAGTAACTATAACTGTAACTAGTTACAAATTCCAAGTAACTAGGTGTGTTAAGATACAAAGATACATTTTTAATTAAACTGCGACTATTAGCATTTATAGTGGTTAAAACGTGTTGGCCTCTATACTGTAACTGTAAAGTATATTGCCAAAATCTATGCCACGTGGTAGAAACGGTTCTATTACGTGGAAGTAACTAAAATGGGGAACACTTTTTTAGTGTCAGTAACGTGGAGGTATAGTGGCCAAAACTTAATCATAACTTTACTAATCTTTACTTTCTATCCCCGTCTCTTTCCAGCATATTATTTATCTTATTATCTGACTGGATATTAAACTAACACTGAATTATAATATTGTAAGAGTACAACTTGCAAATAATAACTAGAATTAAAATAATCCGAAGACATAAAATTAAACAAATTAAATTTTACTGTTTGAAATACAAGCATGCCCTGTTGAAATATGTGGTAATAAAAAAGAATAAAAAAAATCTATAAACTTAGCGGATATGAAAATTATTTATCTAGAGGCCTAAAATAATTTTTTTATTATTTTTGGTCACCTGAAACCAATAAATAGGTATTAATGTGTTAAATTTGGGGCGGTAATAACCAGAATTATTTGTTTAAAACTACACATTTATTTCCCTACAATGACGATTATTTGTAAACATGTCTGCTTCTAAAGAAGGGAACTTTAAAGTGGTAATTTTATACGAAATGTGGAAATCACTTAAGAATGTAGCAAGAACGTGGCAATCACCACCGCAATTATATAATCAAGTTTTGCCACATTCAAGGTTTGGGAAAAGTTCCGAAAACGTTACCAAAACTGATATACCCACTTTACTGCTACTACCACTTCAAAGTAATACTTAAGTGATGTGATTTGGTTACAGTTACTACTCGTATTTATAATCCACTCTAAAGTTTAGACAACTTTAAGGTGGTGTCAAAAGTGGTCATAACATTTTAGATACCAGACTAATACACCAAAAAGTTATAAAACTATAAAGTATATTCTGCTGGTGCAAATCACATGATTACAACTATTCTAATATAATATGGAGATATTTTAACTGTATCGTGGTAGATTTAAACGTTATTGCCACTCATTTAAAGTGGTGATATCAGTTTTCGTCACTATAAGGCTACTTGGGTTATTTATTAAAAAAAAAAAATATTTTAAAAAATAAGTTATTTTAAATTAATTATAAAAAAATAAAATTAATAAACATGTATATTTTTGTTGTCACTTTAAAATTCCCCATACTGTAGCTAGATACTGAAAATATTGTTACAACACTGTATATACACGTATATATAAGTACAGTGTGGAAATTTTATTAAAAAGTTTATTTACCACATTTTCTATATTGCTTTGTGCATATTTCTGTTTTAATTGCTCTAAACTCAAGAAGTTCCTTTAGATTATTTTCATAGGACCTAAGAAATATAAATAAACATTAATCATTTAAAAATATAGGTGACTTACTTTAATTTGGTTTTATAGGTGCTCAACTCAACTGATTTATCCAATAAGATCCTTTTCACTTTTTCTAATTGTACCAATAAGGTATCATATTCCTATAAATATGAATGAAATACAACAAACTAAACATTATTTTAAACTTACCAAAGACTTTCTTTTCAAACTTTCTTCTGATAAAATAGGATCATTATTTTGATATGAATGAACTCTTTCTGTAAAAAAACAAAATTAAATTAAATAAACCAAAAACATACATTTTACCTTTAAAATGTTCATTTTCATTTTTGAGCATTTCCACAATGTCCACCAAGTCTTTACACTGCTGCTGTGCACTATTTAAATTAAAAGTCAGCATGTCAACCTGAATTTTATACTCATTTTCCATCTCATTTTTTATTTGAATCAACTTGTTTAAGTCATTCTTTAAGGTGTTATTTTCTTTTTCCTGTGGAAATACATTGTAAAATCTACTCGACTTAAAAAAAATCTTACATAAACTACTGCTTTTTTAGCGTTTTCTTCAATAATAGATTCCAATTTTAAAATTTGATCAATTTGTGCTTTATGCAACTCCTCAGTCTCAAATTGTTTAGCACCCATTTTAAATGGATTGCTTTCTGCCATTTTTATTTGTAATTCATTTATTGTTGCCTTATATGTTGAAACCTCAATTTTATACTAAAAATGTCTGTTTATAAACAATTTGTAACACAAGAAAATATAATTTACCTCTTCAATAATGCTTTTTAGTTTATTTAGTTCCTCATCTTTGCTATTTAAGGTTTTCTGATATAATTTTATGTTTTCTGTCTTCTCAACTAAAGCAATTATTCTTAATAAACATTTACAAAATCAATTATTTCACCTACGTAATAATCCTTCAGAATTCTTAACAGATTCTTTAAGTTGCATGATGTCAGCCTCACAAAGTATTAGTTTATTTTTTATGTTATCAGTTTCCTTTTTCTTGTCCACTTTAAATCTATCAAATTCCTGTTTAACACTTACAATTTCCCTACATTTAACATCATATAAAACTTTTAACTGGTCACTTGGTAAAGCATCCCTGTAACTTCTGTGAACATCAGTCAAAGAAGCTACAGAAACGTTTGTCGACGAGTTTATAGTACTATCGTCGTAATTAAAGTCGTCCAAAGCTTCGTGGAGTAAATTTTGCAGCTAAAACATCAAAGTTTAAACAAAATCAATGTAATTTATGAAACGAAAACATTACCTCTTCTTTTCTTCGTAGTTGATCTTCAAGATCCTCATCTTCTTCGTTGTTTTGCGAGGTGTTTATTTGAATTTCGGTGCCCTGAAATAAACTTTGCGTCGGATTGTCTATTGTTGACATATTCGTTTAAAGTTGTACTGTTTTTATATAAGTGTGGTTATGTTTGTGGCGCCAAAACAATGTTTCCAAGATTTGACAGTAGTTCGAATAACAACCATGTTGCCAAATGTCAGGTGTTATATTATATATGGGCCATTCCATATCAAATCACCAAATTTTAAAAATTGTATTTTTTGATTCAGTTAAATTTTTGATATGTTTTTGTACGTATCAAAACCTTAAATTTTGAGCCCTTAATTTTCAAAAGCCCCGAAGATATGAATATTTGAAAATCACAAAAAAAATAACGATACGGTAATTTTCAGAAATTCATAACTCCTGCTTAAATTATCGTAACCTCATTTGACCGGTAGCTTTTTTATTCGTTTTGAAATTTAGTTTCTGAAAAAAAATATAAAAACCAAAAATTTTTCACTGTTAACTTTTAACTTAAAAATTTTGACTTTTTTTGAAGAGCGACATTTTGATTTTTTGAAAAAAATGTATGTTATACTAGACTGTAAAACAATTTTTTTAGGCCCATAATGAAAGTGGGATTTAAATATCTTCGATTTTTTAAGCCACTTTTTAGAATTTTTTTTAACCAAGTTTTTTTAATTTTTTTTAATTTGGAGTTTTAATAAAATATAGTTTGAAAATATTAATGTGTGTGTGTGAGAAAGAGAGAGAGAGAATCGTTAAAAAAATTTTTCTCCGTAAGACCGAGCGCACGTCTCTCGAAACCCCGCGCCGCGGCGTAGCTACGCGTAGGCTTGGATCTGTAGCGACGATTTCTCATGCATTTCTTTACAAAAAAAATCATAATTTCTACAGTCCCCCCCCAAAAATAAGTAGTAAAATTTTGCGGAAAATTTAGGGCCATCATCATGATGATTTTTTTTAATTTGAGGTGGTGTTTTTTGGGAATTTAAATTTTAATAAAAAAAATTGGATTTTTTTTGGGAATTTTAGAACAAATTTTTTTTTATTTCATCTTAAAGAGCGTCAAAATGTTTAAATGATTTTTTTCGAAATTTTTTGTCTTTTAAATAAAAAACCTACAAAAATGCATAAAAGAGGTTGAAATTTTAGATTTCTCTATCGACCCTGAAAATTTGAAGCAAATCGGAAACATGAAGTCTTAAATTAACACATATTATTTTACCGAAAAGAAATTCAAAGATAGTTTTTTATTTTATTTAGTGATGAATGTTGGGAATTTTCTGTATTACTTTTATAATTAGGGACTTCCTGTAGATTGATTTATGTTGTTTTCATTAGTGTAGTGTAGTTTTTTTGTTAGCGGTGTTTTTTTGTTTCCTTGAGTTTTTTTGCGCTCCGACAATTTCCGTTTCTTCCGACCTTCCATGACCCATTGGGCGTTTTCACACTAGCCGACACGACAACGACACGACAACGATGTCGGTGGACACGTAATCTCATGTAATTAAATAAGAATGCTTTCACACTTGCCGATATGTCGGTATCGTAGACAGCACAAAATATCCATTAGATATCCATTGGATATACTTTTTGGATATCCAAGATATCCACTGGATATTCATGGATAACCATTAGATATCCTATAGATATCCAAATGTCCGCCTATATCCAGGACATAGCAAATATCCAATGGATATCCACATAGATATCTAGTGTAGTGTAGTTTTTTTGTTAGCGGTGTTTTTTTGTTTCCTTGAGTTTTTTTGCGCTCCGACAATTTCCGTTTCTTCCGACCTTCCATGACCCATTGGGCGTTTTCACACTAGCCGACACGACAACGACACGACAACGATGTCGGTGGACACGTAATCTCATGTAATTAAATAAGAATGCTTTCACACTTGCCGATATGTCGGTATCGTAGACAGCACAAAATATCCATTAGATATCCATTGGATATACTTTTTGGATATCCAAGATATCCACTGGATATTCATGGATAACCATTAGATATCCTATAGATATCCAAATGTCCGCCTATATCCAGGACATAGCAAATATCCAATGGATATCCACATAGATATCTAGCTGATATCCAGTGGATATCCATTGGATATATTCCAATTTTAAAATTTTGTTGGATGTAGTGAGAAAAATATCTGAACCTTGTTTAGTTTGTTATGTATGCTGCAGTACCAACATGTTGATACTATATTTTTTCAAAATATTATATAATATTTAAAATGGCGATTTTAAAAGTTTTTTTTAATGGAACATCTATTTATATGTTTTGAATGTTATACTTATGTTGTACTTATTTTTAGTTAATTAAAAAAAACATTACATTATAATGTATATATAAGTATACTTACTAAAAATATAATATATGATGTCCAATTGAATAAAAAAAATAATGTTCAAATACTTAATCATTTTTCAGGGGGTATAACCCTGTATATTTTGAAAAAATATAGCAGGCAATAAGAGCAAATATACAAAATAAAAAAACTTAAAAATGGTCAATTATTTTTCTCATTAAATACATCCAAACTTCGAAATTGGAAGAAATTGCTACTGTCTTTAATAATTTGGCAATCCACTGTACACATGTGTAGTACACATATTATGTAAATATTTTATATAGATATATATTTGACATGAATTAATTGTATTTTGATTGAAAGGTATTATATAGAAAAACATCAATGAATATGTTTATAATATTTTATTTATAATTATAAACAAAATTATTATTTATTAACTTATTAAATAAATTATAATTTATTCTGGTAGAGGCATTATATCATTGTTTTTCTCTCTGTAAAAGAAAAAAAATTACCTAATTTACAATAATAATTATTGTAATAGTTTACTATTAGGCGGGACAGTCCCGATTCTGAGCTAAGGGTCCCGATTTAATAAGCGTCCCGCTTTTGTCCCGCTTTCAATAAATTCAGACTATTAACTTTTACTCTAATTGTTTAGAATATTTAAGCCAGTACAGTAGTAAAAAGCTCTGACATGGGAACAAGTAAAAAAAAGTTTTGAGTTTCTTTTAAAAAAATTCCCTAAATGCCCCATAGTTGAAAATGTTTTATTTGATGAGACTCAGTATGTTCATTATTATGTTTATGAGAGTAAACTCAGTAAAACTCCCACAGATCAAAAATGGGTAGAAATGTTTAGTCATTTCAATGAAAATAACATTCCTTTCAATAATATTTTAAAATTAGTAAAATATATATTATGCTTGCCCGGTCAAACGCTTCTACCGAACGGGTTTTTTCTATGATTAATAAAATTTGGACCACTGAAAAAAATAATTTGTCTGTAGAAACTTTAAAAGCTTTAGTGACTATTAAATATAATTTTAAAGGAGACTGTATGAGTTTCTACAATGAACTGTTAAAATGAAAACAAGATTTTTGACAATTTTGTAACTTTGTCCCGCTTTTGGACTTTTAGGATCTGGTCACTTTAGTTTACTTTATAAAGTAAACATACTTGTATAAGCAGACATCTAATACACATGCATGTCTAATAAATTAGTAGTTTTACCTAGGTAGGTATTAGCTAAAGCAATAAAAAACATCCCGCCATAGTTAACAGAAGCCGGTAAATAAACAAGGCCTCAAATAAAAACCAAAATCCCAATGTAATGTGTGTGTGCAATATGAAAGACACCTATAATATATACACCACAATACCACACAACCAAACAAGAAATAAAGGCACTTACCTACCGTAAAAACAATAAATATGATGCGAAAACTGACACAATCTTAAAACGGCAGATATATAAAAATAAACGTTTCACGTTGTTTGTTGTTTGCGCAGAGACATGGGAGCACAATACGCAAGCGCGTCGGCCTGGCCAATGATTCTCGAGAGTCTCATGTGACGTAGTCTAAAATAGTGGATATCCATTAGATATACATTAGATATCCATGAAACTCTCATAAACATAATGCTTAAAAAACGTCTAGAATAATTTTAACTGAAACAATCCTTTTTTATCTTTGGCTCTAGATATGTAGTTATAATATCTATGTGGACATCCACTGGATATCCATTAAAGTTTTATTTATTTCAAAGTAAATTATTAGAAATATCAAGGCATGTGTCAATAATGTATTAATATATTTGTCTCTAATATTTATTAGTCAATTTTGACGCAAATTGTCCTTATGCTAATATGCTAATATCCCTAAAGTATATAATGGATATATCCATTGGATGTCCACTGGATATCCGTTCATGGACTGAACATTCAGTGGATATAGGTATATCCAATGGATATCCAGTGGATATTGTGTGCTGTCTGGGGTGTCGCTACAGGCGACGACGTGTCGGCGAGGAGCAACCGTACCACTCGTGTCGGTGGTTGTTTTGGTAGTTTTTTGTCTATTTAATTTTAATTGTTTTGATAGCTTTTGTCAATATAAATTTAATAACATCTAATTAGAATACTTTGCTTTAATATAAACCATGGCTAATTTTAAGTATAAGTGTAATACGTGCCCTCTAAGTAGCGAACTCTTATTATTGGATGTATCCAGAATTTCCTTTGCTTCCTTCGCTTTTTTCGTCTTAAATACAAAAAATATAGCAAATATAACCTAGCCATCTCTAATAACCGGCGCGACACAACGATACGGCAGAGATGCTATCGGTAAATGTGAAAATACCCCCCGATTTATCGTGTCGGTGTCGCTATCGTGTCGTGATCGTATCGGTGTCGTGTCGGCTAGTGTGAAAACGCCCATTCCATTTCACTTCCAGTATGATCATCACCAAAGTCACTTACAAATTTTAATTAAATTAAATTGCATAAAAGGACCAACACCAACACCCACTATGGAAAGAATATGTTAACCCCTCTGAGAAATTCTGCAAAACAAATAGGTACAAACCTTGAAATAACCATAAAATAGAAGGCATCCCAAAAACAAGGAAATTTCCAGTGAAATCCCTGTGGAAAGTTATTATGGAACAGATAGATTAATACCAATAATTGTTTATTTTTATTTTTAGGACAATTAAGTTTATATACTTAGTTTAAATAATTTGTATTGTTTGTATAAAACAACTCTATTTATAGGCAGAAAGACCTCGGGCGATAGCTTAGAAGTCGATAGCTTCTAAGGTCGATAGCCTTTTGGTTTT